AGATAGATAGATAGATAGATAGATAGATAGATAGATAGATAGATAGATAGATAGATAGATAGTTTGTGTTGAGTACACAGACTTTAGAATAAGAACATCCAACAGAAATATTTATTTCTGGGGAAATATGTTCACAGACTTGCAATAAACTGTGAACAACCGTGTACTAATAGATGGAGGGGGGAAAACAGTACAGCCTGATGGCCCAGCTTAATGCCAAATCCATCTTTGTCATGGCTTAGTTTTTTATTTGGCTTGCACAGCAGTGTCGTAATACTAAAGTTCATCACTTATTCTCAACTTTTCAATAGCTGAAGTTTTCATAAGATGAACAACCAGGATCTGTGGGAACACTGAGAGAGTTGCATTGCTATGTACTGATCTGAAATTAATAACTATTCACTATAAATTGATTATTTGTTTGATGAGCAAGAGTCAAACTTCATACATCTTGAAGAACAGAAAGCATATAGACAATTCTTTATATTGTGCTATTTATTCCAGATCGATAAAGAATTCTTGTCCGTCTGGGTATTACAAGGCCTTTGTTCTATCTTCTTTGATGTGTTTTATATAAACTGCAACAGACATTTGTGTTTTCTTATAACCATAGATGTGCTTCCAGGAAGGCGTCATTAAGTTGGCCAGATGGATGGAAACAAATTCAGCAGGCAGACTGTAAGGTGGAAGGTCTTAAATATTTATCCCTTATCATCACTACTGCTTCAGGGATTGTTTGGTAGGCACTCTGTTGTTTCCTGTATAAGGAGCTTTTGACACTCAGCATCAATTTGAGGAAGACGAAAGATTAAGCAAAAACTGATATGTCTGATGGACTGGATGTTTAACCTAAAACAAAGATGGTAATGATTTGTAACACTCGTCTAGCTGCAGAAGATGACGGGCCAGACCAAAGACATGAATGAAAGCGGGAATAGGACTATTCCAGTGTTTCTCTCTATAAAACATTTGGTTTTGATGTTGTTCTGGCTGGGCTCTACTGTGAACACTAATTTAAACCTTTACTGTCTCGCTGTTTGGTAAAGCAATATAAATCACAGTTTCTTAAAATTAGTGGAAGTCATTCTGGTTTAACCACCTTAACCTGTTCATGAAAATCGGACAAATGTAAAAAAACAGTAAAAATAAATTATACATTTCATGCTATTATTTTATAAATGAAAATAAAGGATATATAAACACTCTTAATAACTATGCTTTCATTCAAAATAATTTGTTTAAAAAAAATCAAAGCACTTTTTTCTTATTGTCCCCAAAAAGTTTTGACAGACTGTCTCTGAACAATAAGCATTCCCACTACTCGTGATACCGATATTATCTACTGTCCAACATCACTGATACACCAATATTTAGCTTTTTGTGGTATAGGTGAAAAATTAATTATCTCAAATCACCTCTAAATTAAGTTGTTTTTTAAAAGACAAGCTTGCTGTCATGTTGAATGTCCAGAACTGACTCATGTTTTTGGAAAGCATGCATTGCTGTTGGAAAACATCATTTTCATATGGTCAAGTTCTTTGAAATAACCTCTGTCAGCTCAAAGCAACACAATATACTACCTAATGAAATAAAGACTATCCATAATATTTGTGGGGTATCACTTACATCAAAATGCCATTCAGATGTATTGTGGGTAAAACTGTTGTTTGTTCACTCTGTTCCTACCAAATTAAATTGTCTGAAGGGGAACAATGTTGGTAGATGTTATTAGCCATCAGACCTCCCTGTCTACACATATGGACAGCATGCTTATGCACTGAGTCACACTGCAGGGAAACAGAAGGGTCTCTATACTACTCACCCTCAAAGAAAAAAAATCTGTGGAATTAAAGATGCGACAAGTACAGTATATGGGCTTCATGTCAAGATAATGGCATAGTTGTTTCTTTTTTCTTTTGGTTTGTCACATCCTTTATGGAGTTTTCGAGTTCCATTTCTTTGAGCTGAAGAGGCTCAAGAGGCTCTTTGGGAGTCACATTGTGCACATTGCCACTTACTTACAAATATTCAACACACCATTCATGTAGAGATCTGCCACTGATGACGTGGGCGATAATCCCTAAAGGAATGGACATAAAGGGAAACCCAGTGTGTGATATGTGGGTGAACTTTAAAGTTGGTAGTCTTTCAGGCTCCTTGGGCCCCACAGACCAGGGCCTCCTACCGTCCCTTGTATGGCGCGAGTCCTTTGTATCTCCTCCTAAACCAACACCTAATGTTCGACATGTTTCTTCTGGGTTTGAAAACAGACTCACACCGAAGGACTTTGGTCGATAGCTGGTGTTTTTATGAAGAGGGAAGGCCTTCAAGCAAACATATGTGTGGAGATGGATGGTGTTGGCACCAATAACCTTGGTAATATTAGCACATGAAAGATAGAGACTGCGGGAGGGGACATTTTTAACCACTCACAGGGGCCCCTATATTAGCCCCCCATTCATTTGCAAACAGACTCACACATGATGCCGCTGTTGCAAGCTGCACGTTGGTCACCTCTAACGTCCGCTGCTGCGGCTGCTCACTCCTTGAAGAAGTTCCGCTGAGTAATTTTGTCATAATTGTGATTAATGTTCTGCCGGGTCACTGGCAGTGTTAGCGCATTTCACAACACTCAGCGACTCCCCTTTAAACAATCAACAGGTCATTTACAAATCATTACTCGAGTCGTGGAAATGTGCAACAAGTCATCTGATACCAGAACAGCCACAACTCTTCTAATGTTTCCCTTTGGGAGCATGAACTTGGTGCACAGAGTGCCCCAGGACAGTGGCCTGGCGGGGGGATGGGGGTTAGGGGGTAAATAACAGTAGAAGAAAGGAGCAGGAAGTCTTGATACCACACATTCCTGATAACAATCTCTCAAAGAATTTAAGTATTTCTAAAAGTTTATATGGACAGAAATCATAGATGAAAGTTGTGAGCTGTACTGCTGAAGGATGGTATATACTATGAAAAGAAATAAGACAGATCCAGAACAAATAGGCATCCTATCACAGAGAAAACCGCAGGGTTGTGTAAATACAGAAAACTCAGTTTATTGACTCAAAGTAGATGGAACCCCAAAAAATAATTCAAGCGATTATAGAAGTATTTTTTTCAAATGGACCTCAGATGTGGAATAATATACAGAGAACTCAGATCGCACACAGAGCTATACTGGTTTCATCTTTACGTTTAAATGACACTTTTCTCATGACTCTGTATTTCACCTTTTCCACGTCTAAAGCATGGTGTGAAAGAACTGTGGAGAGACACTTTGAGCTAGAGTAACACCAAAGATCAATCGCACATGACAGCCAAGTGTCTGCCCCTCAGTAGCTGACCTTGTGCTTTTAGCTAATTGGAGGGAGGGGTGAAACACAAAGTGTCACAGATTTCTTTTCCAAAAATCAAAAGTAAACGCAAGACCATGAATTTCTCCCTGAAGAAAAAGTTCACAAGACACCAAAGAGACAGAAAGATACTGCCAACATCTATGCAACACATAGTTTTATGAATGTGCTCTTTTCTGCCAATTTATCACGGTTTCTATGGCGAGGGAATTGGACCAAAAGACGTAAAACAAGAGTATTTTCGCAGAGTGAAAGCAGGAACATTAGACTTTCAGTGGAGTAAATTACAAAAGAACAGCAGATATGAATCCACTCATGTCCCCAAACTGCATGTATTTAAACATTTCACAATATTTTCATTGAGTTATTCCCTTTAGTTCTCTTTTGAGAAATCCCAGAAATGAAATAGTCTCTTTGATTTATTAAAACACTATTCTGGGGTTTTTCAGCTTCCTTTGATTGTTTAGGTGGTGAAAGAGAACTAGAACAGCTTTTTAATTGTCGAACGTAATAAGAAAAGTAAAGTTAATATCTTGAGTTAGGTAGTGATATCATGGTCACTTAAAGTTCATATGTAATAATGCAAATACACATTAAATAGTATACATGTTTACATGTATAAATGTTATTAAAAAAGGTATGAGCAGGAGGAGTAATGTTCTGTGGGCTTCAGTGGGTTTCTGTGACCTCTCGCACACATGTACGGGCTATTTTACGTTTTCATTCTTTACAGCTATGATGAATAACCACCAAGTGGAGTTTCTTTGGCTGCACATCTGGGAGCCCTTACAGCTAAAGATGGAGAGAACATGTACAAGCACTCAGCACGTCCCTCAATTCTGTCATTATTTTCACATCACGTGACACGTCATTATTCATCTGTCAGGATGTCAGCTTTTCCTCTAACAATGTGGTGGGACTCCAACCCCCCAAAGAAATTTGCAGGCAATGCCTAGTATGAATTTCATATGAATTTTCCTCCTTTGTACATTTCTCAGCTATTGAGCAAACCTTTAATACGTTGGCTCATATGAAGGTAATGAAATTATTTTTTTGTCTTTTTATTCCTCAGTGTATTGTCAGCATTGGGACACTTTATTCTTTCTGGGTCAAAATATTTAATGTTGTGGCAGGTCACAACTGATTATGTCTGGAGTACGTGCACGTTTGGTGATGGATATGTGAAAAAGACAAAGTGTGATCTCCTGTGTGTTTTTTTGGGCTCGTTGCCCAACTCAGCTCAAGTACGGACATGGCTGTCGGGAGGATCAGTGATGTTTATCTACCAATTATTCTTCTGATCAGGGTGTTCTGTTCCCCTTCAGTAAGCTTCACGTGCAGATACATTAATGCTTGATCAACACATCTCGCTCACCATCTATAGTCTCTTGTTTACTGTTTTGTTTTTCTGAAACACTTCATATGAATGATTTAACTTTACAAGCTTTGTGTGATACTCTAAACTTTTTTTTGCACCCTGCCTCCACATTTTCCATTTGCAACTATATGTAATGTGCATATAAAAAGTCAAGTTAAACCTTTTACACACCCTTCTTTTTTTTTACTCCACACTGCATGAAACCATTTACAACACCTGCATATTTTAACTGGTGGGCGTTGGCACAAGACCCAAGAAAACACAGTTATTATCAACTATTACAAAGAGCTGCTAACCATCAAAATTCCCTTTTTGTTCATGTTGCTCTACAGCCCACACAGATCAGTCAGCACTAATGCAGTCATACAAGATAAACCCAGACACTGATGACGTGAGGCAAACGACAGTTCTTTGTCTTAAAACGTTTAATTGAAGTAGTCAGTGAACAAATATGTTTTAATGGTTCACTTATGGAATACAAATGTAAAATATGAGTATCTATTCACTCTATAGATGAATAAAGAAAAACACAAGCTGTCAACTCTACGTTTTAAAGTTTCTATCAAGCAGATTCTTGCGGTGAAATCAATTTTTGCTGTCTCTTAATGCAATGATGACATCCAATAATTTTCCATTCTCTACTTTAAGGCCAGAGCTACTGTCCTACTGGGCGCACTTTCAACTGGATTTCAAGGCTTATCAATTGCAAACTGGGCTGCCACTCACATCCCTTGATCTCTCTCTGATGTTTCAATCTCTTCACCACAACGATCCGCCTCCCATAATGCTCTGAGAGAAGTTAAAAGTTCATCCCTTTTAGCTCTAATGTTTTCCTAATGGCTGCTTGTTGAGTTAATAGTTAAATAGCAGGCAGGATCATTGTCCTTGCCTTTAATTTGCCCCTGTGAGTGAAGCCAAACACATGTTCTCACATGAAAGTTTTACATTTACCCTCTGACCCGCTGGCACTGTAAGATTACAGCAGCTGCATGTCGGTCGTGGCAAACCCTGGTTTGCTCTCATTATAAGGAGGCACTTAATAGAGCTGCGTATATGAATTTATCAGAGTAAAAGCTTGGTTATGCACGATAATAAAAGCTCATACTGTATACAGGAAAGCACATTTTAAAACTGCTTTTGAATATTTTCTTTTACTCATTTCTTGAAAATAAAATTTCACAAAAAAAGAAAATTGATGGCTCAGTTGTGAGATTAAAGTTCCTTCATATAAATGTTTGGATTTAATATATAAATGCAGAAGAGTACAAAAATAAAACATTTGTATAGCATTAATTTTACATATGAGACGGAGAGTTAAAAACATTCATGTAAAGATTTCCAAATTTAAACAGTTAACTGCAGCTACAGATTCAGTGATCACTAAGAGGAAAGAGCACAGAAACAGAACAATTATACACACAAAAAGAACAACAAAAGAAAAACAATAATGATCAGAGTTAGTGAATAATTTGCTGTTATGACATGAATACATCAGATATAAAGTGCATTACTATCTGCATGACAGTTGTAGGTAGTCACATCCATATGCATCTTTTCATTGTCAGTTTAGGCACTGCTTTATCTGCAGCGAACAGTGTTACACTGTGTGTTCATTGTTGATGTGGAAGCATTTACCCAAATTGTAATGCACCCTTATTCTGAATGTGCTTTCAATCAAGTGAAACTGATTTCAAGTTTGTCAGCCATAATTGTTCAGTATCATAATTTATTCTTCCCTTTCACTGATGTATTCTTCCAGTAAATTTGAAATGATCCGTTGTTAAATTAAAAAGTTTTGGAAACCAGATGTTTAGCTTTGCGCAAGGACTTTAAAAAAGCCCCACTTGTAATCCCGGGTCACATAATCGTAGCCACAGCTAAACTCAGGAAATGCTTAAGCTCTTTGGCATCCCTGTTTCCATCACAAAATGTTATAATTGGCATTTTTATTGGGATCTTGTGCACATCTTACGTTCAGTCTGGGGTAGCTGGCACCCGGAGAAATTCCTTGGTGCCAAGTGGCTTGAGCTTAAGTTGTTTTTTAAAAGAAGAAACCAATCTTTGATTAACATTTTGTGAAAAACCTGAACGACAAGGACAAGCAGATTCTGGCTCAGCAGCGCAAAGTCTCATTCTTAAAAAGTGGATGCTAAGTCAGGCGTGGTGCAGACACACACCTCTTCCATTTTGACTATTCGACCTCAAATTCTTTGCGCTTTCGTCTTGACAGAAAGGCCAGAAGGTTGACGAGATTATCAATATATCTTTACTGTTTAAGTCCATAAACAAAAAGGACAAATTTAAGAAGAGTTGTGAAAAAAACATACACTTAGAGATATAATAGCCCTTTGTAGTAATAATATTTGTAATAAGTGGTGGCAGTGGTGATGGTGGAGACAGCGGTAGGACGGATGGGCCGATGTTCAGGGTGACGCGTTGAAGGTTCTCTCCATGCAAAAGGCAGCAGCAGAGTAGTGGGGATAAGTGCTGTTCAACATACCAGACGATCTCAGGCCACATATCAGTGACGGCGGTCCAAATCCTCAGTGATGGCTCAGGAGGATTTCTGCAGGCTTTTTAGTTGGCCTGTCTGGATTTCTTCATCCTAAGGGAACAATTTTATTTAGAACAGGAATTGAATATGGCAACAACACCTTCGGAAGAACACATAATAAAAATAACTTTGGCAAAGTATCAGTTTGTACAAGCATCAAAGAGTTCACTTGCAATGAGTTAACACAAATTGAAATTGAATTGAAAAGTTTTTGTTCAAGTGCAAAATTTAGCATCTTGTTCCAGGTTGCAAATCAAAACATCTGCATCACGTTTACAGGGCCAAAATACTGTTAAGCCGTACTCATGAGCTAAACTTAAACCCTATTCAATTTAATTTTAATCTAACATTCTGATTTGATTGAGCCCCTGTTAAAAATCCCTTATGGAGAACATTAATTACCATTGTGGTATATACATAGCTCTGCTTAAATTGTATACACTATACCAACATAAACAATTGAACATGGGTGGGCTGCTTATTTGTTGACACTCGAATACTCCTAAATCACATTAAACTGCCATAAAAAGGCAATCAAAGTTGTGTTTACAAGACTAAATCTGAGCACAAAGCATAAGTTAGGGCTAAGTGCATTTTTACACATTGTAAAACACTTTATCCTTTTGACTCTCCTTTGGCCTTATGTGTAATTGGAAACACATTAGGTGTAGACCCATTGCAAATGAGCACCATCCACTTTCTACTCTGGATGTTTTGTTATGCAGAACGACATTCACACCTCAGCAGGCAAAAGACTCCACAATCATCCACAGACAGACAGTCTGACTGTGGGATCACGCCAGTATCACGGCCTACTGGGTGGATCAGTCGTATGCTATTGGGTAATTGATGCAGGACTGCTTTTTTCATTCACTGCATTTTAAAATCCTTTTATATGTATTATCTGCTCCCATAACAGTTTATTCCCAGTTTATTTCATTCTTTAGGAACACATGACTGCAAAGAGATGGTAACCTAATTCCGTAAACTTAACAGTACCAAAACCTTTGAGAAAACATTTCACTTCCTCAATGTAGGAAGGAGACGGCCATTGTTGGCAGCGGCTTTCAGCCCCCTGAGTCTAAGCTTGACTTTAAAATGAGTGTAAGCTGCCAAGTAGATGTATTAATGACAACTGAACTGGCACAAGAAAAAGCTAAATTAACAAGTTTTATACAATACTGTATGTGTCAATCACTTTCTTACCACAACACCAAAACTCTCACACGGTAAACAATAAGGATATAACGAACATTTATGTTATCAATACTTGCAGACATGATTCTTGTATAAGCATTAGTAGACAGACTTTAACCTGCAGCAGCAGTTAAGATAATATTAAATGCCATTTTAAGGTTGATGTATCATCCCACATCAAAACCACAATTTGTGTTGTTGTGGAATTAGTCTCTACCCCCACTTGTTCATGTAGCCACATGTTTAGAATTTGGGCTCCAGTATAAATTGGGCAATAGAGAGCCGTCTCTCCCCACTGGTGATTGGATAGATGTACAAAAGTATATTTGTCCTTATGCATTTCTGCATTGTATTCTTCAAATTTCAATAGAGCGGAAATTTGGAGACTAAGAGATTTCATGGTTACCAAATGAGTCACCGATTCAAGCCTGATACAAGCCATCATGTATTGTCTTATTGGAACTCACTTGTTGATAGCATTCAACAGGTACTGCTGCAGCCACCGAATCTCCGGGTTCACACACACCTCTTTGTTTGTCTTCAGCTTGGCACTGATTAGAAAGAAAAAAGATATTTCAGTATAAACATAATATGAAGATGAAAGAGTTAATTATGCAAATTTAAAGTCACTGGGTGTTCTGACACTTATCAAATAGTCTGAATTAACACTATCTTGCTTTCCACACATGCGAAAAGGAAATGACAATAGCACATTTTTCAATCTTAATGTTTTAGGCTATACAAACATAGCTATCAATGCAATATTTCAATAAACATATGAATCCTACCCTAATGTGAAGTCACAGTTTGCTTTCAATTTCAGAATCACTCTCTGTCTCCTAAATAAACCAATCATACTTTTACTGAGCACTATCATCTGTAACTTTGCTCGACACAAGATGAAATAATGACACAGTCCAGAACTAAT